CCGAAGCCCACAGCCTGTGGGGCGACCTCACCGATCCGTTTGTGCTCGCCGCCGCCGAGGACGCCATTGCCGCCATCCGGTCCACACTGGCCGGCGTTCTGCAGGCTGGCCGCTCTGACTCGTCGGCCTCGCCACTCTCGGACGCCCTCGTGGCCGCCATGCTTCAGCAGACGCAACAACCGACTGCCCTGGCCGTGTACACGACCCGGGCCCTGAGCGGCCTGCTGCAGACGCGCATGGAGGGCCGCACGTTTTCTGCCACGGTAGACGAGGCGTACGTGGTGAAGCAGAACCTTTGGAAGACTGGTGCAGGCACCGGAACGACCCTCGGCGCACTGGCCTTTCTGTCCGGCTACGGCGAGGTGCTGGTGGCCTCCCCGTCCGTGTCCAACTTTTGCAACCGCCTCATCAGCGACGTCGCCGGCGCCAACCCGCGCGCCAGCAGCGCCAAGGCCCAGTCGACGCTCGAGACGCTCGTCCTGCTCAATGCGTGCGTGGCTGTCTACGAGGTGGGCGCGCTGCCGACGGCCAGCAACCGGCTGATGTTTGCCGTGAAGCAGATTACATCTTGGTTTGGTCGAGGCGATGACGGCGACGATGACGACGACGACAATGACGACAACAAAGAGGACGCGGCTCTCGACTCCCGCATCGCCGCCGAGAGCTGCCGCGCCCTGCAGCGCCTCCTGCCCTGCATCAAGGACATGTATGGCCCGCACTGGGAGCGCAGCATCAAGTACAGCATTGGCTTGTGGGACCAAGCCGCGGCCGTTGCGGCGGCACCCTCGTCGGCGCTGGACGAACACCTGCCCTACGTCTACGCATCTCTGAAGCTGATGGGTGCTCTCGACGCACTGGACGAGCCCAACGACGATCTCGAGGACACGCTGGCCCTGTTTTCCGAGGCCAAGTGGACAGGCTTGCGCCGTCTGTTGCTCGCTCTGGCGCATCGCCGTCCGAGTGCTGCTGCTGCTACTGCTGCTACGAGTTCCACACGCACACAGCCCCAGGGCGTCGTGGATGCACTGCTGAGCCGCATGGCCAGCAAGACGCCCCTCCACCTCTTGACGGCCGACTCGGCGGATCTCTACACGCTTGTTGCCTCCGACTCGCGCGACATCCAGGCCGCCGGCTACGGCTTTCTGCACCGCGCCCTGCCGGCCCAGCAGGAAGAGCTTTCGTTCAACACCATCCTCGAAAAGAAGGAGGCCCGCCTGCCCGACGAGCTGCTCTCGCTGCTGCTCGGCGCGCCCACCCTCGAGGCCTATCCGGACGACGTCCTCGCGACCTTCCCGACGCCCGTGCGCGGCTACCTGCTGGCCTGGCGCCTCGTCTTTGACGCCTTTAGCACCGCCTCCGCCAAGGTGCGCAGCGACTACGTGGCGCACCTCGGCAGCAGCAGCAGCCACGTGGCCGCCCTCTTGGACTTTGCCTTTGACGTGCTCGGCCACTCGGCCGCCCGCCCGCTGAACCTGGACAAGGAAGGCCTGGCGGACCGCGCCAGCATTGCCGCGTACGACCTGGCGGCGGCCGAGGCCTCGCGGTCGGACGAGGCGCACATGCACCAGCTGCTCGTGCACCTGTACTACCTGGTGCTCAAGTACGTGCCGGGCCTGTTCAAGGCGTGGTACACGGCCTGCCGCACCAAGCAGACCACCGTCGCCGTCGAGGCCTGGACGGCCAAGTACGTGTCGGCCCTCGTGGTCGAGGAGGTGCTCGACGACGTGGCCGCGTGGGCCGCGTCGTCGGAGGGGAGGGGCGGGGCCGCCGGCTCTGCCGCGTCTGCCGCGGGCGACGACGACCACGACATGACGATCAAAACCAACAAGCGCGCCCGCGAAGTCGTCGCCGGCTACGAGGTCGACGAGCTCACGCTGTCCATTGCGCTGCGCCTGCCGGCCAACTACCCGATTGACAACGTCGCCGTCGTCGGCCTCAACCGCGTGGCCGTCGACGAGAAAAAGTGGCAGAGCTGGCTCATGATCACGCAGGGCGTCATTGCCTTTGCCAACGGCAGCCTCGTCGAGGGCCTGGCCGCGTTCCAGCGCAACGTGCTCGGCGCCCTCCAGGGCCACACCGAGTGCGCCATCTGCTACAGCATCATCTCCGTCGAGAAGCGCGTGCCCGAGAAGCGCTGCGGCACCTGCAAGAACATGTTCCACCGGTCGTGCCTCTACAAGTGGTTCCAGTCGAGCAACCAGAACTCGTGTCCGCTGTGCCGGAACCCCATCAGCTTCCTGGGGTCCGAGAAGTTTAAGCGGCGGGATGTGGAGTACTGAGGGTGGAGGAGGGCTGTTGTGCATGTAAGACGATGCATCTGTCACATTTGCACAGGCGTTTAGGGATCGGTGTAACAAGGAGTTGGTATTCTCACTGTATTTCTTTTGGGCATTGATATATACTAGTATTTAGAAAGTAGATATATTGTAGGAAGACAAAAATAAAGAGCGTGAGAGACCTCTTTTAGTTAAAAAACTATGATAATAAACAATCAAGCCGACTCATCAGTTTAACAAGAGACCAACAGCAGATGTAGCTAATCCCATACTTTCAATCACAAGAGGACGTCTCACACGTCACACACGAATTCATATTGATCCGAATGCTGCGATCAAACGTCCTCTGCGTGGCACAACCCCAGAAGTTCATCCATACACGCCACTATGTCACACACAGGTCTGCTACACGTCTCCTGCTGACACCCACCGCCGCCGCTACAGCTTCCCGTTCGCCTTGAGCGCCCGCTCGCCGTCCACCAGCACGCACCATCCTTCGTCACCGCGGCCGCCCTCACCCGCCACGACGTCGGTAAAGTGGCCCTTGGTCGTCGCGTACTTGACCACGTCGTCGTCCCACGTGCCGGGCTGCAGCCACACGGCGCCGATGCCCAGCTTCTGCGCGTCCTGCAGGACCTGGAGCGTCACGGGCGGCGGCGTAATGACAGACAGGCCCGTCTCGTGCGGGTGCGGCAGCGCCGAAATGTTGGGCAGCGTGGCGTGGGCGATGCGGTCGACGGAGATGGACGGCGCCGTGGGGTTGATGGGCGTGGCCGGCAGGTCATGGCGGGCATACCAAGCAAAGACTGGCCTATGTTAGCAGATCCAGGAGGAGGCAGCCAGCCCGATGGAAGGGGCGGCGAGCACAGAGAACGCAAACTCACTCTTGTAGCCAAACTTGGCCTGGTTGGTGGAGGCGCCGACGACGGCAAAGTAGGGCTTTGCGAAGAAAGCGCGGGCGTTGGCCTCGGTGGCGGATATGGGGAGAGGCATTGTGCGGCGGGGTGGTGAGACGTCAAGACGTTAAGATGTGAAGATGTGCAGAGCTGGTGTTGAACAGAGGAACGGCGATGTAGATGAGATAAGGTGCGGTTGACATGCAAGCCGAGATCTCTTTCGATGGCGGTGGTGAAATCCGCGGCAGCGATTAGTTGCTCGGCTGGCAGCTGCCGTCGGTGTTAGTGGCGCATTGGGAGGCACCTGACAAATCTGGGCGAGCGAGCGTCGTGTACTGGCACAATATTCGCCTGATATTTTTTCAAATGTTTTGATCATTATATCTGCGTTTTCTATTATTAATAAATGTTTCTTTAGACCAGCAGTCCTTCCACTGGTGCTTGGAGGTATGTTTGTTCAGATGGCCACCTATGCTCACATGTCGGCAAACCAACTCAACACAAAGCTGTTCCTGAGCTAGACTTGTATGTTTCGGAGCGCCCTGTCCGTGTTGAGCATCGCGTTTCACATCACGTCAGCTCTTGCGTTCTTTCGCTCTTCCGTTGCTGCCGGGCGCGTTCCGATCACCTTTCCACCGTTTTTCAGTTGGAAGCTCTCGAGCTCTCGAGCTCTCGTTTCCGGCCCCACTTTTGTGACCAGCAGCTTCACATGGCCTGCCGTCCGCTAAATGCGCTGTAGTTTTAGCGTAGCTTCCCCCTCTAGACGGGGCCGAGGAGACACAGCACATTCGTGACAGCCGTTGGCAGCGGCAATTGGGATCGTCTGACCGTTACAACGTTGTAAAACATGGCGGATTTTCTCCTGATTTTTGTTTCTCATTTTCGACGCTTATTAAGTGCGTCACCTTCGAATTCACCAGCATATGTCAATGTCGCCCGTGGCCGTTGCAGTATTTCTCATCTGTTCCTGCCTCCTTCGTAGCGAGCCGAGCGACCTTAGCTTCCCGCCAGCACCTTCCAAATCAATTCTGAAGCTGCGCAAGCAATGCCCAAGACGACCAGAGACTGCAGCTCCGCAGCCAATGGAACATGTGCCTCGTGACAGAAGTGGAGCCCCAATGCGCGAAAGCGAGACCCGCTGGGCCCACAATTTCCTTACACAGACCACCCCAGAGCACTTGGGCTGCTCTTTCCCCTTCCAGTGTTCCCGGTCGCTGAAGCAGCCCCTTTGGACCAGCCACCCTTCGTTGCTCCTTCCCAACTCCCAAGGCCCTAGCCGGTCGAAGCTTCCCGCGAATTGCATTGTGAAAATTATCTGGGGCACCCAAAAACACGGAGCAACCGCACCGTCCGGAGACAAGCATCGCCCTCTCCAGACTCTCACGATTCGACCTCGTCTCACCTCGCCTCTTCTTTACCAAGCCATTTTGTCAACCCACACACCCGCGCTCCTTTGCCGCCTTTGACGAATCGACGACGAACAGTAAACCGTTTCAATAGACGACGCGACGGTGCGTACGTGGACAACGATAGTCGCTACCGTTGCGATTCCGGCGTTTCCTGGCGCAATTGGCCATTGTCGTTCCTTTTTTTGGCATTTTTGTTTGGTCTCCCCAGCAGCCCAGACCATGGTCCGCCGTCTGGCTGCTGTGCTGCTTGCTCTGCTCTAAACCACATTCATTATCTCGGCTCGTCTCTGCCATTGTCATCTCGATCGCCCTTTTGATCCCGGATACATCCTCCGACTCACCGCCGAGCTTTCGACGATTCAGTTTCCGTCACGACCACACACACACATACACTTTACCACCTCAGCACGGCAGACACAATGTCCGACACGTTGCAAGCTCTCCAGCGGACGGAGTATGCGGGCGTGCTGGTAAGATAGCTCCTTATGGTTCCGATCCCCGAGATGCGAATCGATCCAGCGCATTCGACCGTGACCGGCCGTGATCGTCCGATGGCTCTCAGCGCACAAACACCAGAGTCTCGGCACCAGGATTGCTAACATACCCTTCTCCTAGCCGTATCTCCAACCCGCGCAGGCCGTGCAGGTCCTGCAGGAGCGCATCCGTCGCATCAGCAAGGTCAACACTGAGATTGCCGATTTCCTCGCGGTACGACGTGACTTGTCCACTCTCCCCACGATACCTCGTCTTGCATACAGCACGCATTGGCTATCCTGCCAGCCATTGCCGTACTCGCCCTCGCAGCATACGCTAACGTGTTATATTAGGAGCGGCGACGGGTCGAGGAGCAATATGTTGCGGGCCTCAAGAAGCTCGTCGGCTTTAAAGTGCCTGCGAGCAGTGCCGAGCTTGGGTATGCTGACACCTCCACTCCCACCGCGTTCTTGCGATACTTCTTGTTTCACGTTGTCTGACGTATAACACACAAAACAGCGTCTTCCAGCCGTCCTGGGATAGCCTCCTCCGAACCATTGAATCCACCGCCAACTCGCACCAACAGCTCAGCAGGAACATTGGCAATAACGTTGAGTCCCCGCTGCGCAACTTCCAGGCCAAAGACGAGGTCACCCACCTGTCCACCATGGCTACCAACCTCCATAGCATGGCCAAGGAGCTCGACGACGCGCAGAACCAAGTCGAGAAGCTCACCAAGAAGGGCGGCAAGGCCAACGTAGGCAAGGTCGACGCTGCGACCCAGCGCCTGGACGGCGCCAACCAGCAGTGGGAGAACCAGGCGCCCTTTATCTTTGAGAGCCTCCAGGCCCTCGACGAGTCCCGCGTCAACCATCTGCGCGACCTGTTGACCCAGTTGGGCACACACGAGGTCGATTTGGCGACCACGACGCAGTCCAGCAACGAGAGCCTGCTGGGCCTCATCCTGGACATCAAGACCGACGACGAGATTACCAACTTTTCCCAGCGCGTCATCGACGGCCGTCCCCGCGTCGGCCGCTTTGCCGGCATGCAGACCCGCCAGTCGAGCATTGCCGCCTCTGCCTCGGGGTCTGCAGCGCAGCCGCAACAGCAACAACAACAGCAACAGCAGGGCGACTTGCTGGGTGCCAGTGCACAGCAGGAGACCCCGGCCACGCCAGCTCACGACACGCTGCAGGCAACGCGCCCGGAGACACCACCTACCACCGCCGGCGGCGCATCCGCCGTCTCCGGTACATCCGCAGTATCCTCCCCCGTCGCACCCCGGCCGTCCACGACTGCACGCAGCACGGCTGGCTCAACGTCCACGGGCGCAGGAGCCGCAGCGGCTGGGAGCGTACCACCGCCAGCACCACCCTCGCGTGAGGCCACTGGGTTCCGAGACCTCCCGCCACCTCCACCCGCCGAAAAGGAAAAGGAAAAGCCAGAAAAGCCAGAGAAGAACCTGCGCAGCCGCATCGGCACCATGCTGGGCCGCCGTCGCCAGAGCATCCACGGCGGCTTTGGGCAGCTGATAGGCTCCAAGAACTCGGGCCCCTTCAACCGTATTAGTGTCAGCAGCCACGGCCAGTCCATTTCACCCCGCGCTTCCTACAACAACCTGTCCGAAGCACACGCCACCAGCCGTCTCGGATCCGTGGCTGAGGCATCCGACCGGCCGACCGCCTCCAGAGACGGCGCTGCCCACACGAACGGCACCGGCTTGAGTGGGGTGGGCGTCGCCGACAGCAGCACCCTGAACACCATGACGGTCAACGATATATTCGGCGTGCCGCCACCGCCTGGCCCGCCGCCGTCGCAGCAGAGGACGACGGGCAACGAGCCCGCGCGAGACGCCGAGGGCTACTCGCTGCCTTTGGCTACCAACGACCCGATTTCGCAGGCTCAGCGCGACGCGGCGGCCGCCGGCGCCGGTACCGGTGAGCCGCTCGGCGATGGCACTGGCGAGGACCGGGCGTTCCAGGTGAACATCCAGAAGGAGCCTGTGCAGGAAGAGGACCCGCTGGCGAAGAGGGCGGCGCTGTCCAACATGGCGAGCACGCTTTCGCAGGCCATGCCGAGCCGTAGGGGTGGCACCGTGCGCGGCCGTCGCGATGTGCGAAATACCATTTACGTGCCACAGACGTCCGTCCCAGAGTCCTTGGCCGGCGCATCCCCGTCGGCCGGCGGCAGTACGCCGTCCTCGTTGCCCAATCCCCCCGGTGTGTCGCGCAGCTCGACCTTTGCCTCCCTGGGCTCCACGGCCACGCCAACCAGGCCACCCGCTGTGTCCGCGCTCGCATCCGAGTCGAGCCTCGGTGGCGGCACCGGCTCGTCGGACACGCAGTCTGTCCGCTCCACCACGTCGCTCAGTGCCATGGCCAACCTCAAGCACGTCGACTCGGACGGCCCCGGCCTGCACGCGTCCATCATCGAGTCTGTGTCCGCCAGCTTCGAGAACGGCGAGGTTGCGTCGGCTAAGATCGCCGGTGAGATTGCCTTCTCGTACACGGCGCCGCCTGCCAGCCCCTCGACGCCGCCCACCGCCACCACGACGATCCGCATCAACAACTTCCCGCTGCTCGAGTCGATTGGACCGAACCGCATCTTTGTGCAGAATACATCGAGCCCCGACCAGTTCACCCTCGACACGAGCCACCTGCAGAGCAAGGCCGCTGCCGCCTTTACGTTCCGCGCCCACGCCGAAAACCCCCAGTCGCTGGCCGCCCACTGCCCGCTGGCCATCAAGCCCGTGTGGAAGCCCATGGACGATCAGCTCCGACTGATGTTCCAGTACCGCCTCAACCCCAACTCCCGTCTGGCCCCCTCCGGCCAGCCTGTCGTGCTGCGCAACGTCGTCTTTTTCGCTACGTACGAGGGCCGCGCCAGCACCATTGCGTCCAAGCCATCCGGCACCCACGTGAAAGACCGGCATCTGGTGTACTGGCGCCTGCCGTCCGTGACCCTGACGGCCGCCTGGTCCAAGATTGCCTGCGCCATCCGCGTCGAGGCCGGTGGCGCCGTGCCGCAGCCGGGCAATGTGGAAGCGCGGTGGGAGTATGCTGTGCCAGCGGCTGCGACGGACGCCGACGCCGACGAGAGCAGCATCACCATCAGCCAGCTGCAGCCTGCGACCACCAGCGCGCTCGAGGAAGAGGACGAGGAGCAGGATCCCTTTGCGGACGACTCGTTGCCGTCGCCCAAGACGACGAATGGTGCGGGTGCGGGCACGGGCGCGCCGCTGTGGACCGATGTGCCCTTGGCACGACAGATTGTCAGCGGCAGCAAGTACGAGGGCAAGTAAAGAAGGGGCGGCGTGCCTGTTGGTCCATGTTGCTTCTGCTTTGTGCTGTTGCCTTTGCTTTTGCTTTCTCTTTCTGCTTTCTGCTTTCATTGTTGCCCTTATCCAGCCCTTGCATTGTGTGACCATCCATAACTTGTTTTTCAACGGTACAAAGAAAATCCATCCTCTCCAAAATATTCCTCCATCCCTTCCCAAAGTATATCTTCTCACGCACGTTCCTGCCTCGCTTTATTCTTTTTTTGTTTTACCTTGCTTTTTAGTTCTTGTTCACATTGTCGGCTTCATCGTTTTTGTACTTTGATTTCCACCGCTTGGTTTGCCCGCATCCCCTGTCCATATTGTATGTCTGTTGTATTGCGCCAAATCTCTCTCTGTTATTCTTTTTTTTGTATAGTTGTTAGTCTCAGCCTACCCTCGTCACCCCGAGGTCCCTCACCTTAACCGTAAATCAATAATGTTTTTAATGCACGTGCCGTATGTTGACGGTGATAATGAGAAAGTATCGCGATCCTGAGATCACGCTCCGTATATTGACTGAACAGAAATGAATATAGATACAATGAAAGTGTCACGGAAATCACGGTAATCACGGAAATAAACAAGCCAATGCCATGGCATACCGTGCCATGCTATGCCAACCCCCGGCCGGTTCGCTTCGCCCGAAACATGACGCCATTCGAACAAAACATGCAATTACCAGTTACAATCCCACATGGCTACTCTCCCACGTGTCTTATCGTCCCGTCGTCACGGTCGACGTCCGCGTCTGCTCTTCGCAAAACTCGAGCGTCAGGGCCGCCAAGAACCCGGGGATGCAGCCCTTCTCCCGCACCCAGAACCGGATCTGGTCGTCGATCCGCTGCGCAAACGCGCTCCGCGGGCCGCCGCCGACCTTCATGGTGCCCCGCTCGCCGTCAAAGACGATGCTGTTTTCGTTCTCATCGGCACTGAGGCTCGGGTAGTACACGCTCTCGACGCGCATCTTGCCGTTGGGAATGAAGGTGACGTGCCAGCCCAGGGTGCTCTCGACGGCCTCCTTGAACTCGGCCGACTTGGCCGCCCAGACCTCCTTGAGCCGGCGGCTGGCCTTTTGCGCAGACGCCGTCTCAGCTTGCGCGTCGGCGATCTCGCGCTGGGCGGCGGCGAGCACCGACATGGGGACGGTCGTAAACGGGGGCGCTGCCGTTGACGGTGGAGGGAGGGCCGACAGGGGCGCCCGCGCACCGCTCTTGAGCGCTTTCTGAGCAGCCGTGCCAGCAGCCGCATGACTCTGGATGTGGGCGAGCAGCTCGGCGTTCTCCTGCTTCAGGGCCGCGAGCGTGGACCGCTTGACGGCCTCAAAGTCGGACGTCGGGTTGGACCGCAGCGCGAGCACGCGCACCCCGGCCGCCTGCTTCTCGGCCGCGAGCTGCTCTCGGGTGACGGCCAGCTCCGTCTCGAGCACGCGGTGCGCCGTCTGGGCCGCGGACAGCTCGTCCTGCAGCTTGCGCGTCTTGCGCACCAGCTGGCCGACCTGGGCGTCTTCGTCGCTGCCCGCCGTGCCGTTCGCACCACTGCCGCTGCTGCTGCCGCCGTCGGTCCACGACCGCTTGGTGCCGGCGATCTGGGCAGCGGCCGCAGCGGGCCCGCCAGACGCCTCCAGCGATGCAAGGTCCCTGTGCAGGCCCTCGGCCTCGGCGCGGTACTTGTCGACGAGCTCCTCCAGCTGCTGAATGCGGTCGGCCTTTTGCTGGTCAAATTGACCCGGGTGGAAGGTCATGTCCTCGGTGTCGAACGCCTTGAGCTGGGCGCGCAGATACTCGACTTCCTTGACGGCAAGGGCGCGCTGGCGCTCGAGACGGGCCCGAAGCTTGGTTTCGTTGGCGTTGGTGTTGGCGTTGGTGCTGGCATTCACAAGTGTGGGTGTGCCAAACGAGGGTGTGCCGTCGCCTCCAGAGGACGCACGCGCTGCCTTGAGGCGCTCCACCTCGGCAGCCAGCTCCTTCTTCTGCATCTCCAGTGCGCGGATGTCGGCATCCCGCTGGGCCATCTCGGGCTCCAGCGCGCCAATCTTCTCCGTCAGCTCGGCCGTGCGGTACCGCGCCTCCATCAACGCCTTGGCCACGGCCTCGGGCGAGTCAAACTCGCTCGACGACGCGCCGTCCATGCTGTGTTCGGTTTCCGTCTGCAGGTACGCCGCCCAGGCCCGCCGTTCGGTCTCGAGCCGCTGCCGCTGCATGCGCTCTTCGTGGAGCTCCTGCTCGAGGGCGCGCGCGCTCTCCAGCTTCCGCAGCAGCGACCGCTTCTCCTCCTCGACGACCTCAACCGCCTTGTGCGCCTGCCGCAGGTGCCGCAGCTCGGTCAGCTGGTCGCGGTTGGTGGCCTCGAGGGCGCGGATGTGGTTGACCTGGTCCTTGAGCTCGCGCCGGATGATCTCCATGGTCGCCGCATCGCCCGTCTGGGCTTTGAGCCGCAGCACCTCGGCCTCGAGCTGGCCCGTCTGGGCATCGCGCGCGACCAGCTGCTGCTGGGCCTGCTGCAGGGCCGCGTCGCGGGCCGCGGCCTCCTGCGCGGCTTCCTGCAGGCGGCGCTGTGCCGTCGCCAACTGCTCCTGGAGGTCCACGGCCCGCCGCTCGCCCATGCGCGCCGCGTCCTCCTTGGCAACGCTTAGGTCGTCGAGCTGCTCCTGCAGGGCCCGCGCCTCGTCCTGCGCCGCCCGCACCTTCTGCTCGAGGTCTCGCTGCCGCGCGTCCTGGTCGCCGCGCGCCGCCTCCAGCTCCTCGTGCAGCGCGGCCATCTTGCGGTCGGCCGCGCCGCGCTCGGCCTCGGCCGCCTGCCGCTGCTTGAAGTCGTCCTCGGCCTTGCGCCGCGCGTCCCTCAGCTCCGTGTCGTGCTGCAGCCGCGCCATTTCCTTTTCCTGCTCAAACGTGTTGACTTGGTACTGCAGCGTGCCCACCTCGGCCTTGAGCTCTTCGATGCGCCGCCGCTGCAGCTCGTACTCTTCGGCGTCGGGCGGCGCCATGTTTTCCTTGCTGCTCTCATGCGAGGTGGCCCGGTACGACGAGGTCGGGGCGCCGACCGACTGGGTGTCGGGGATGGCGCTGTGTCTGGACGAGGGCCGCGAGGGTGTGTTTTGTTGGTGTTGTTGACGTTGTTGATTTTGTGGGGCGCGCTGTTGCTGTTGAGGCGTGGTGCGTTGTTGCGTGGGTCGTGACAGACCCAGCCTCTCGCGCGCCGACTGCGTCGTGCCGTGTGATCTCGCGAGTCCGCTGCTGCTGGCTGTCCGTAAATGCGCTCGGCTGCCGCTGCCGTCGCCGTTGACGCCGCCTTGCGCGACCGGCTGTCTGTTGCCTCCTGGTCCGCCGACGGGACTCATCTTTCGTTTTGTTGACCGGACGCGTGTCTCCCACCTCGTAGACGTGTCGTCGTGTTGTTGGACGCCGTCGTGGTGCGGTGTGGGCGTACAGGAGCAGCGAGTGACTGGGCAGTGTTGAAGGTGATGATCAAAACGCGTCTAGAGCGCCTGCAGCTAACAAGAGAAGCGCTTCCGCGTGCGGCCCAGTAAGAAGGGACCCATAATTTTGTATGAAACTGGTCACGTGTCACTGTTTCGAGTGGGGCTGTTGGTCAATGACAAAGAAAGCATCAAATCTCGGCCGGTTGCATTCACTCTGTTGGAAGGATATCGTTTCGTTGGGATGGAAGACATTAGGCGTCTCTGATCACGATCGCTGTGTTTTCTGTATGCTCCCAGTCTTTGCCTCCAGTTGCGTGGACAATGCAAAAGTTGACGAAACTGGATACACTCAAATAACAAATAGCTCCACTGAGCGACTAAACGCACTAAGACGCTAGCTCTCTTCTGCTGTTTTTCTGGGCGAGGGGCTGTTTCAGACAGTGTGTATAGCGGGCAGAATGGTTACAAGTGGAACCTCGCAGCTTCACACAAAAAAGCTCCCTCTGGCGCTATTCGATGCTCGGATTCTCGGTTCGCCTTGTCGCTCTCTCGCTCACTCCCCACTATGGCGTATGGCTCTTGACCTTTGGCAAACCTGCTGCAGCTGAGGCAGCTCCCGACCACTGTTGACTTTGACGTTCCTGGACATCCTCTTCCCTCTTCTCCTGCCTCTGTGCGAATAGCTTCATTTCCGGCATAGCGCAGCCAGCGACGAAATCGACATCTGCCATCATGCGCTCCGCGACGGCAGGGCTGCGCGTCTTGGTCCGTTCCCTTGACATTATCTCGTGGTCGCTTAAGGCTGCGCCGTCTTCGTGGCTTGTGTCTTGTGTCTCCATTGTCCTGCTAACGTCTACCCGCAGAACGCCGGTACCAATGCCGCGCCATTGCGGAATTCCCGTTTCCCGTGCCTCTGCGACCAGCGCCTTGTCCACAACAGCTCCGTTCTCCGCCGGCCACGGCACGGCCACAGCCCCATCTACCCCCGATTCACACATGTCCGCCTTGCCTCGAACGCGTCAAGAGACACCACTCCTCCGCAGAGCGAAGACCGTGCGGAAGCCGCTGTTCCGTCGTCTTCTTCCTCCACCACCCCGACGTCCTCCATATCCACAGCCTCAACATCGTCCTCGAGTACACCGCCGTCGTCTGCCGAGGACTGGGAAGAGAACCCCAACTTCAACATTGAAAAGTTCTCGGAGCTGCCGCACACCAATTTCGGCGTGAACCAGCACATGATCATCAACGACGAGTTTAAGGAAGCGCTGCGGCAGATTTTGTGGCAGTTCCGCGCGCCCATCCGCTATGCCTTTGCGTACGGGTCGGGCGTCTTCCCCCAGAGCGCGCCCAACGGCCGCGTGCCCACCGAGGCCGAGATCAAGGCCATCCACCCCAAAGCGCCCTTGGCCGTGCAGCGCGCCCAGGACGGCTCGCCCAAGATGATTGACTTTATCTTTGGCGTCACCTTCACGCAGCACTGGCACAGCCTCAACCTGCACCAGCACCGCGCGCACTACAGCGCGCTGGGGGCGCTCGGCTCCGGCGCCGTGTCGTACGTCCAGGACAGCGTGGGCGCGGGCGTCTACTTCAACCCGTACGTGGTCGTCAACGGCATCCTCGTCAAGTACGGCGTCGTCAACCTCGACACGCTCTGCGCCGACCTGAGCGAGTGGCAGACGCTGTACCTGGCCGGCCGCCTGCACAAGCCCGTCAAGATCCTGCGCGACGACGCGCGCGTCCGCCTCGCCAACCAGATCAACCTGCTGTCGGCGCTGCGCACGGCCCTCCTGCTGCTGCCGCCCGCGTTTACCGAGCGCGAGCTCTACAGCACCATCGCCGCCATCTCGTACCTGGGCGACCCGCGCATGCGCCTGCCCACCGAGAACCCGCACAAGGTCGCCAACATTGTCGACCACAACATGAGCAACTTCCGCCGCCTCTACGCGCCGCTCATCGACACCCTGCCCAACGCCCAGTTCAACGACAGCCGCTGCACCCAGCGCGGCTGGCTCGACGACGCCGACGCCAACCTGCAGCTCGCCCAGGACATGGACCCCGTGCGCCGCGGCAACATGGTGCGCCGCCTGCCCAAGGCGTTCCGCGAGCGCCTGTACTTTCAGTACCAGAAGCAGTTTGCCATCCCGCGCGGCGAGTTTGACCGCATGATGGCCCGGACGCGCGACGAGGACGACGCGGCCGCCGGCGGCGGGTTCCGGCGCCAGCAGGCGACCGACTTTGAGCGCCGCATCGTCGACGACGACGACCCGGCCACGCTGCGCAAACACGTGCGCCACGTCATCCGGCAGACCATCAACTGGCCGAGCACGTCGCAGAGCCTCAAGGGCGTGCTGACGTCCGGCGTGGGTCGGTCGCTGCGGTACATGGGCGAGAAGATGGCCAAGTTCCGGCAGGGCAAGAAGACGGCGCACGAGCCAGAGGCCAACACGGCGTCCAAGCCCGCGTCTGCAGACGGTGCGTCCGAGACGTCGACGGAGAAGTCGACCGATGCATCGTCGGAGACTTCCAAGGACTCGGGAAAGAAGGCGTAACCTGCCCTCATGACCAAAACCTGTACATATCGGCAGCTCAACCGCTGCCATAGCTGTCATTCGTTTTCCTTTTCTTTTATGTTCTCTTTTGTACACCCGGCAAACTGCACCGCACAAAGCATCTACACGGCACACCAGTGCACCAATGCACAGTTTCTTTTGTTGACAGAAGGGAAAGACGGACGGCATCCTACACGGGGCGAGGCATGGCGGGGAATCCTGTTCCTATACATTCAGAGTAGACTATGGTAGCGACTACAACATTTGCTTTTTCAAAATACAAAAGCCCGCCGCCTGTTTTTTTTTTTTATTTGCCCACCCACCACTCGCGGTGCAGCTTGTTCATGCCCCGTTGCAGCGCCACGACCGCCGCGCTCATGTGGTCCTCGTACGTAAACTCTTGCAGCCACACGTCGGCAAAGTGCTCCGTCTTTTGCAGCCGCGCCGCCATGGCCCGCGTGTTTGTGCACATGTGCTTCTCCGCCAAAAAGTCCTGCCGCGCCTTGAACGTCGCGTCCGTGTCGTCCGGCTTGGGGAACACGTCGAGCTCTTCGCCCGTGCCCGAGTTGAGGTACAGCACGGGCTTTTGCCGCCCGTCAGCCGCCGCCGGCGGTGGCTGGCCGAGGAACGCGGCTTCTTGCTCCGCCACAATCGACTCGTCGTTGAACCAAATCGACGGGCTTGCCGCCATGTAGACGTCAAACAGCCCCGGGCTCGTAAACAGCGCGTACAGCGTGAACAGCCCGCCAAACGAGTGGCCCGACAGCACGCGCGTCGCCAGCCGGTCCCACGCGGGCAGCGACGGCAGCAGCTCGCGCGACAGCAGCGGGATGACGACGTCGACCAGGGTCGCGTGGAACGTCGCCGCGCCGCCCAGCTTCATGTACACGGGGTGGCCGTCACCATCCGTCACCTCGCGGCCGTCCGCGTCCTTGACGGGCCATTGCGGCAGGCCCTTCTTGGCGGGCGGCGTGAGGTCAAACGACCGCCGCGCGGGCACGTACACCGTCTCCGTCTCTGCGTCGGGGTAGCCGATGGCCACGATGATGGACTTTCTCTTGGCCTCAAACTGCTGCCGCCGCGCAATGTCGGTGGCCGACAGAAAGTAGGCGTTGCCGTCGAGGACGAAAATGACGGGGACGGCCGCAACGTCCTCCGCAGCGTCCTTGGGCGTGCCGTCGGCGTGCCAGTCGAGCGGCCACGAGACCATGACCTGGAAAGGACCATGTTCGGTGTCGATGACCGTCTGGCGGGTGTTGGGCACGCCGTGCGTCGCGACCGTAGCTTTTGTCATGGCGGAATGGGGAAACGGTAGAGTTGGAAATATGACGGTCAGCGTGGGGGACGATGTACGCTCTTACAGATACGTACAAATGGGCATCCTTTGGCTTTTGTACGAAATGGTCGGTGCTGTTCGAAGAAAGACTGTGCAACCGAAACATCACACATAGGCTCTCTGAGCGTCGGTCGTGGGGCGTTAAGCGTTCCCTGGCCAGGCTGCATGAACTTGGAATCCCCTGAAGCTTAGTCTGTACGCGTCCGTTCAGTGCTATAGAGGATGCCCTAGCTACTACTTTAGGCAGCAGTATCGGGCGGGCGGCAGCCGCAATGTGCATCTTGTCCGATGAAGATCATCAGAGTCAGCTTATTAGATCTACAACGCATGTCGCAAACACGAGAAACGGTGCATTCTGGATGTTGAACTATTAGATGTCAGTTGTTCAGCTCTCGGTGGTAATTCCTGGAGTAAGAACCTCAGTTGGCTGGTGGCCGTTGCCACGCTTGAAAGCGTTTCCATCCAAATGGCAACATATGTCCATTGACAGATCTTACAGTGAAGGGCAAAAGCAGTTTAGTTATCGTGACGATGTATGAAGTATCTGAACAGGGATATATCTGAACAGGGCCGACCAAACGACTTGTCCTGCTTGATTTACGTCCTTGTAAAAACCCTTGGATGTTGTTGCACTATTACAATTTTAAGGGTTTATTTTGTTCAATGTTATTTTATTTTATTTTTTTAAGTTTTTGTTTGGTTCTGACTTTGACGATTTTTAAAATAAATCCAGGTGAAGCATTCTTACTTGCAATGTTTACATATTTCCATTTCGCTGCTTTCGCAAAACCAACGATAAATTTACGGACGACAAGACAACAAACAAGAACAAATAAATAACAACACGTTACAAAACGAATGCGAATGTTGATTGTCTTGAAAGAAACAGCCAAAAAGGAAGGGTGTGATCGATCTCGGGATCGAACCGAGGACCTACGCCGTGTTAAGGCGTCGTCATAACCAACTAGACCAATCGACCTATGAGGGGAATTTGATGTCAAAACCGGCCGCCGGTAGCGTATATGATGGCGGTG